TTTCTCTGTCTCGCCCCCTTCCCAAAAAAGGTTCAATACAACATAAGAGTAAAAGACAATTTAAACAGTATTAAATAAGATGGTCGAGCACCCTCCTCCCAGAATTCAAAACAATCTATTCTACCCCATGCATTCCCACTCCACATTGCATAGAAGAGCATTTTCCTGTGGCCAACCAAACCTTACTTTCTCACCCCCATTCACACTTTGTTTTTGATTACTTTTACCTCTAATTGGGGCAAGCTATAAAACGCATGTAATCTGCAAAACAAATCAAGATATAATCAAGTGACAGATAATCTGACCAAAATATATTTACTTACCACTAGGGAGAAAATTCCAGTAAAAGGTAATTGCACATTTCTTCTATAACCTGGTAATTGGCCAAAAATATACTTTTTGGAATTAATTTAACATTAATTACCAAAGAGCATATTTTATTTAATTATAGCCAGGTCTCCAAGTGAAACCCTTATACAGCTGGAAGGGAGATTGAGAATGATAATGTTGATAATGTACTGTGGTGCTGGCTTTCCATTCTTTTTAATCAATTGACTTTCATCTAACAAATGTTTCTGTCTGCAGGGCCCTTTACTCGCCCACATCCTGCAATATGGCGAATGGTTTTTGGTAAGTTTCATATTTATAATTTTACTTATACAGTGCCAGTTTTAACATGGATAAATTGTACAGTTGTATAATAACCTCCACAAATATCATGGAGCACAGCTGTGCTCAAAACTTGTGAAGAACCAGTGATTTTTTTCTTTGATAGTTTAGGTAATCTTCTGTACTTAGTTATATTGGTAAATGTGAGCAGTGTAATTCTATATCAGGGTAGTCTGATTATGATTGGAGCACTTTTAAGCCACCCAAAAAGCCACATTCATTTGGATGATTGAAGGTTTATTTCTTATTTAAAAACAAAAACCTTGTTTAGCATTTGTACTTTAGTTATTTTCCGAATTAAGAAGATACAGTTATCATTGGTAAAGACATTGAAAAGACATTGCTTTATAACTAAATATAGCATTTCTGCTAAACTTTTTATTTCCAGGAGTATATACCATTGTTATACATACTTACTTAAGCTGTTATATATTTTATCATATGTTTATATAAATTCTTTTTTCTTTATTTATGTTAGGAAATAGTGAACCATAATTTTCTTACCAGGTGTTTAATTTTGAATTTGTAATTTTGTGCCTAGCTGAATTGAGGTTGAAATTCAGTTGAAAATGCACAAAATAGCATTTTAGAATTTAATTTCATTAGTTTAAAAACTACCTTGAACTTGACTGATCCATGAAAACAGGTAAAGTTTACTAAACAACCTTTCATTTTAAACAAATTGTATTAAGCAAAGGGGAGAGATTTTTCTCTAACAAGTGACTAGAATAGCTTATTTCAGATCCCCACATCTTTCAGATTTTAGAACTAGTAGATCTTGTTATCTTTATACTTCACTTTTTAATTTTTTTATTTTATTCATAGTTTATCAGAAAACTCTAGTACCTTGTGCTTAGCCTGCGAATTCTACTAATGAACTTCAGAAAACATAGTGGTTTCATATACTATATTTAATTTAAAGTCTTTTTACTACATTGTAGTAGGTATAGACCTTATTGTAGTTTGTCATACTTAGGATTATTTCTTTTTTTATTACAGTGTGGGTTTTTTAAATGTTATCTTAACATAGCACTACTACTTCTGTTCAATGCTTCAGCTCGGTGATTTGAGCTTTTAAAAACCAGAGTTCTTATGCACGGATAATCTTATGAGCATTAAACCATAGTTGTGCCATGTTAAGATAGCATTTAGAAAACTCACATTGCCTGGGATCATGATTCCCCTTCACCAACAAGTAGCAAGCTCATGGGGTTCCCAGCTGCAAGGGCATGTACTCCTGCAGCTGAGGCCTACATCAGCTGCAAGCTTCCAGGCTTGGTGGCACAGATGTGCCCCCCACCTGGGAGCTCCCAGCCACAAGGGCACCCCTGGCCATGCATTTAATTAATGGCATGATAGGAGCAAGCCACAAAGTTCTTGCATGTTTTTTTGTGGAATAACTTTTTGTAGCTTATTCCTTCTTTTATCATGCCATTAATTCATAGGTTCATAAAAGTTAGGGGCTGAAAGGGACCTCTTGAGATCATCAGGTCACTTGGGCAGGAAAGAGTGCTGGGGTCAGATGACCCAGCAAAGGTGAGCTTCCAGCTGTTTTTTGAAGATATCCAGAGTAGGTGATTGTTTTGATTGAACTTGTGGTGGAGTCATAACTTAAGACATGATTACCTGGTTAATCATGTTGTAAGTGTAAATTGTGGCAGAGGCCCAACTTAAATCAACACTTGAAGTAGATGGGTTCAGAACTTGACCTACTGTATTACTGGGGGAAGACTGCAGGTGTGCTTGTGAGAGCATGCATGCCTATTAAAAAAAGTTTTTGCTTTTTATTATACTTAGAGGTACACCGACACGTCGATCCAATATCAGATCAGTACCGATATAAAGAAAATTTGCTGTATCAGATATCAGCCCTTTGGGGCTGATAATTTGGCTGATAAATGCTCATGCTGTGTGCTGCCGAGATGCAGCACTCGGGCAGCCAGGAGCACAGCCAGCAGTGTGGAGAGCTGCCTCCAGCTGATCAGTCCCATTGTGGTAGAAGGAGAGGGAGGAGGGAAGGGGCATGGCGGGGCAGATCTGCACCCCCTGCAGTGAGGGAGTGGGAGTGGGGGCAGGAGCTGCCCAGGCGATGTGGTTGCTGGGGGGGGACGGCTGCAACCAGGGCTTGCACCCCAGGAGAGCACGGGGGGCATGTGCCCCCAGATCTGTATGTACAGTGTGGTTGCTGGGGTGGGGTGGGCTGTAGCTGGGGTTGCATGGGGCTCTTCTTAGCGGGGGATGGTCTCAGAGTAGGAGCCGGCGGCACTGGGAGGATGCTGCATTGATCCTAAATTTTGCCACAGCTCAGCTCCCAGCACTGTTGCTGCCAGCCATGCAGCGCTGCTGCAGCTTTTCCCAGTACATGGGTGGAGGTGGGGCGTTGAGCCAGAGCAGCACTGGGCAGCTGGGGAGCAGGACGGCTGTGAAATTTGGGGTGAGTGAAGCATCCTTTCAGTTCCAGCAACACCTGCTCCAAGCCCAGTCCAGCCCCTGTAAAGAAGAGCCCTGGCTGCAGCCCACCCTGGCCCATGCAGATCCAGGGGTGGGGGGAGACACCCCCCCCCCATGCCCTCCGAAGGGTGCAGGCAATGGTGGGAGCTGCCTCCCCCCCACATGAGCCACAGCTTTGCCCTGCTCTACCTGGACAGTGCCTGCCCCTTCCACCCCACGGGACTGACCAGCTGGAACTAGCTGTATTGGAAATTGTATCGGTGTCGGCCATATGCCTCCTTAAATATAGGTTATCAGTATTGGCTCCCAAAATCTCTATTGGTGCACCCCTAATTATTTTTTTTCCCCTGGCATGGCTTTGTCAGCTACAGTTAAGGTCTCAGCTATTCGGAATAGGCAGATCTTCATGGTTCAAGAGGATGTAGTTCCATGGAGTAACGGTATATCCCAGAAGCGCAGCAAGTATCTCAAATTGCAGGCCACAAGTCCACAGTTTGTTTAGTTCAGTTTCTGTTCCATCTTGATGTTGTACTGGTGCATGAGTTTGTAGGACTGGAGAGCTGTGCATTTGTTCTACCCACATAACTCTAGGCAGAATTTGCCCCTTATTGTGTAAGGCCTCATGCAGTTGCCTTCTGATTATTACATATTAAACAAATTAGGACTTTTTTTCCTCATGTTGCTTTTTCCTCTCCTGATATTGCTGTGTGACTAAGTTAGCGTTTTGAATGTCTGAATAGTACATTTATTGCCTTGATGTTTTTGGATTTGTTTTTGGATTTGTAACTGTCCCTGTAATTGTTCTTTAAACTTGTAAGTTACTGGTATGTTCTTTTTGTGCTAATGTAGTTTGGCGTCTAGCAGACAAGGTTATTTAGGTAAATCTGTACAGGTTTCCCTTGCTCTAGATGCATTCCTGAAAAACTGCGCATAACTTGAATTCACATAAAGGGAAACCACTCTACAAGGTAACAAATAGGGATATGTTCCAAGACCTTGACAGCATTGGCAGCAGGTAAGTCTGCTGGGGCCAGGGTGGCACCGGGCTCTTCCTGGCGGGGCGGCTGGGCCAGACTGCACTCAAGGGAGAGGGCAGCAGCGCTGAGAGGCAGGCTAAGGGTGGGGCTGCAGCCACTCCAAAGTTCTCCGTAGTCCCCACAGTCCTCCTTCACAGTGCTGCCGCCACACAAGCCGAGTTCAATGCAGCCCAGCCCTCGCTGGCAAGAGCCTATCATGGCCCCCAGCCCACAGTGGCAGCCCATAGCAGCAGGAGCTGCACCCCTCATCTTGCACCCGCCCTGGCTGTGCAATGCCTGCCTCTACCCCAGCCCCACTCCCTCCCTTACCACCAGCAGGAGGGCAGATAGAGGCACTCACCCCAGCCCTTGCTCCTGCTTGTGCCCCACTCCCTTCCTTACTGCTGTGGCCTCAATCTGTCCCACAGCTCACAGCCTCTCCCCACGGACTTACCTCCTGCTGATCGCATAAGAGTGAACTTACCTCATATAATGAATTTTGGGTATAAAAAAGGTCATCTTATAAGAGCAAATTCGCATATACAGAACCTGCATAAAGCAAGGGCAACCTGTATCTTTTATTTGCCCAACTCAAATAGTTGGAAAAAATCTTCTTTGCAAGATTTCGGGTACAAACACCCTTTATCTGGAAGCTTCCTCAGCTTGAGGAAGGGTGTTTGTACCCAAAATCTTGCAAAGAAGATTTTTTTCAGGTATTTGGGTTGGTATTTCCAGGTAGTTGGGTTGAGTTGGTTTAATAAAAGATATTGGATTAACTGCTGACCGCTCACATAGGTTCTTAGACACAGTGCAGGACCTCCATCTAACCCAG